CCAGAACAACATACATAGGCAGCTAACTTCTTCACATTATTTCTTTGAAAAATCTGTCTCATAACAAGAATGAAATGGTACAAGCCACTAATGATCTGATCAGGACCAAGTCAAAAGAGGCAACTTTCCAATTTACTAACCTGAGGATCTTTTCCAAATAAATTTTGGAAAAGATCCTCCACCCCTCAAGAGTTATTTAGCACTGGATTCCTGCACAGGCACGGGGTGGAACTAAATAATCTACAGAGTCCCTTCCAACTCTATGATTCCTAGTTGAGTATATTGAAAACACATGGCTAATTCAGCTGCACAGCATACAAAAACACCAGTACATATGATAATACTGATCATGTTTGAGTGCATTTTAAAAGTGTTTAGTTCTGAAGCAATTTTGTAAGAGCTGTTGTGAAATCCTCTATGTCTACTCAGAAATAAGCCTCAATTCAAGGTGACTAAGGGCGTGTACAGACCGGCCAAAGACACACTGTGCCAAAGGAGTAAAGAGCCGCAACAGTGGCAGTAAGGGCAGCTTTTTACCGTTCCAAAAAGGAGCAGCATTTGCCAGCTTCTTTTGGAACGGCAAACTGCCAGATTGGGGCCGCGGCCTCTGTACGGCCCCATACTCTTAGATGGGCACAAGACTGCAGCCTTAGATGTCTTAAACTTTCAATTCATCCCAAGCTTGAGGAAGCCTCTTCAATTCTGACAGTTTGCAATGATTTTTTTTAAATGACTATAGTAGATGAGAGTTAGTTTACAATCCATCATCAATATGATATTATAACAGCAGCAGTATCTGAATGAAATTCATATGATGTAAGGCATGGATGGCCGAGCAGCAAAACAGGTAGCACAGGCAGAACAAGTTTGTGACCTTCACAGATAGGTACAGGAGGGCCCATGTGCCTGACTATGGTGTGTTACTACCTGTTCTTCAGCTAAAACCACCTGTGGCTAGGAAAGTTGCCAACCTGTAATTACTGTATTGAGAATATGAATTTGACTAGTTTATAATGTTTAGGTGCAAGATGATGTAAATGTCATTTCCACCAGAAATACATTTACAGCTCAGAATGTAAGCCTGTCTGTGCATAGATTGCTTTTAAAATGTAAGTCTATTTTTAAGAACTGGACTCCAATTCAAGCCTGAACTTTTGGGGTCAGGTGTGAATACAGTATTTCCCCCAAATATTCTCAGAAGATATTCCTGTTAGGTAATTGTTTCCAAACAGACCCTGGTTGTCATTGTTGGGGACTATGTATATTAGAGTACAATATGTCTAATATTGTTATTGTTGCCATGTGCCTTTAAGTGTTTTCCGATTTATGTCAACCCTATAGAGTTTTCTTCGAAAGATTTGGAGTTTTTTTTTGGGGGGGGGTCACTGCCCTTCTCAAAGGCTGAGATGGTGTGACTTGCCATGGTCAACAAGAGCAGGGATTTACCAAACAACCACTATACCACACTATACCACACTGGCTCATGATTTCTAGAACACTTGTTAAAGGCTCTGGCCACCATCATCTATGAAACTGTGAAACTAACTGGGTTTGTAGGAGGGGTAAAATGGTATGTGTACTACTGTAATAACTCTTTCAAACATACAAAAGAAGATACTGCAATCATTTAACTTTTATCTAAATTCTGAAGTTTCCAACTTCTAAGGGCAGCTTACCTTCCATTCATGGTTAAAAAAAACATCAACCCAAACAAACAACATGAGGATGCGTTTTTCTTTTCAGTAAAAAAGAAAAAATTGGGAAATGTGGCTATGGAGCCATGGACATTGATGTAAAATGGTGCTAAATTTACTATATAAAGGTAAATTGCTTAGGCACGTACTATGTATAAAGTATGTCTTATTTATTTATTTATTTATCTGAAAAAGTTCACAAGGTACATTAAAACGTGAATTTAAATTATTAAAATCAATTTCTTAAAATAAAGTAATTCAGTGTTTTAAAAAAGAAGACAGAGCTGCAAGACATGTTAAAGGCTCAGTGAAACAAATGGGGCTCAACAGATGAAATGCAAGTTAACTCAGTTTCAACTCTTCACCATTTTAAACCTTTTTTAACCAACATTCTTCAACCAAAAACCCTTCAAATCTCTATCTATAAAAGGCCTGTACTCCAAAATATCCTTAATAGCTACTATTAATATGAAAAATATTGTGTTTGATCCAGACTAATCACCATTTCGGTCCCAATGAAACCAATGGCACAAGCTTGTCATTACTGTAGTCTATGCAAAGCAGCAATGCTGAATCTATTAAATTATTTGGATTAAATTAAATTAATAGTGTCTGAACTTCTAACCAACCAAACAGGTACCTCTGGGTAACTGATCAGCTTATTTTAAAGTACTAATTATACAATCTGTTGTTGTTTTGTGTCTTCAAGTCATTTCTACTTATGGTGATCCTAAACCTTATCACTGGGTTTTCTTGGTAAAAATTTGGTCAGAAGGGTTTACTTTTGCCTTCCTCTGAGGCTGAGAGTGTGTGACCTGCCCAAAGTCACAGTGGGTTTCCATGGCTGAGTGGAGATTCAAACCCTGGTCTTCAGAGTCATAGTCCAATGCTCAAATTACTACACCACACTGGCTATTATAGTCTCCAGATTACAACTATTTTAAAAGAGATATGCCACATCTCATTTTATATGGCAAAATATCTAATCTAATCAAATGTCTAATACCTTTTACACTGCCACATGTATGCATCATCTAAAATAAAGAACAAATACTTTTGGTTTCAGAAACAGTTTTCACTGCAACAAAATTGATCAATTACAATATAATTAACAGGTTACAATTTCAGTTGCAGCCTTAATTTACACATTTGTTTTCAAGATTCATTACAAGGGAAAACAACCTTTCAGGAAATAGGAATGCAGTGGCAGTGTATTTTACTTTCCATGCTGCACTATATTTTGTTGTTATCCACCCTCAAGTTGATCTCAACCCATGCACTATCTATTTGCCTGTTATAGTTTTTAAGTGATATCTTAAGACTGTAATATCAAAGAAACATTCCATTATTTTCCAGTATAAATCTGTTTGTTTCATGTTGCACTGTATACGATGACGGCACCTCCCCCAGAAGAGTAGTTCCCAATCTTGGGTCCACAAATGATGGACTACAAATCCTAGAATCCTAAACGATTGTTCATGATGGCTGAGGCTTCTGGAATCTGAAACACAACAACATCTGGAGACAAAAAATTGGGAAATGTGGCTATGGAGCCATGGACATTGATGTAAAATGGTGCTAAATTTACTATATAAAGGTAAATTGCTTAGGCACATACTATGTATAAAGTAAGGAGCTGATAGGAGGGTCTGAGATCTGAATGTTGAGGGTTAATGTTGATTGATATGGGGATTTGAATAAGGTTGGTGAATGAGTTGACAGATCCCTGTTGGCACAGTCAGTTGAGGTAGTTAGAAAGAAGTGAGAGAGAGAATGGAGTGTTAGGGTTGAGTCAGTCAGTCATGTTTAAGAATTAATGTATGCTGTTTAAGGGTCTGAGTTAGTTAGGAGTGGAGTATGAGATGCATTTAAATGTATTAAATAATCAGCTTTGTTATGCTCAACCTCTGTTAACAATGTACTGCTTTTGTATTTATATGCTTTTAGCCTCTGGGAATGCCAGACATCATAAAGCTTGGATTCAGACATGGTGTCTGTGGTGGCAGCAGTGAATAAACAGGTGATATTCAGTAGGTATAGAAATTTCATAATTTGTCACACAGGTACCTTGTGAGCATCTGGGTGCGACCACAGCAGGAGGACAGGAGGAGGTTTTTACACTGGAGACAGAGATGGGGACATGGGGAAGTCCTTACTCTTGGTTGTTAGCAGTGTGATTTGTGGAAGTCTTCACATTAGGTAATAGCAGAGGTTTAAGCAGAACCTCACACCTGGTGGAAAAGTGAAATAAGCGCTAACAGCTGCCCTAGAAACTATGGATCTGAACAGACTGCCAGAAATAATTTAGCTTGAGACCACTTTAACTGTCCTGGCTCAATGCTAGGGAATCATGGGAACTCTTGTTTTTTCTGAGACATTGAGCCTTCTCTGTCAGAGAGCTCTGGTGCCACAATAAACTACAATTCCCATGATTTCCTAGCACTGAGCCAAGGCAATTAAAATGGTCCCAAGCTGGATTATTTCTGGCAGTCTGTTTAGCTAAACAGGTATAGCCTTCAATCCAAAAGCTTTCAGTATTACTGTATTTTCCGTCGTATAAGACGACTGGGCGTATAGGACAACTCCCAACTTTTCCAGTTACAATAGAGAGTTTGGGATATACTCACCGTATAGGACCACCCCTCTTCCAACACACACCAAATAAAAATTTAAAAACCATCAGATTTGATTTCAATATGGTAATTTTAATTCAAATGCTTATGACATGCAGGTACTTAGCAGGAAAACTGTCACTTATAAACACAACAAACTACAGCTCTCATGTTCCCAAGCATTTATTTCTGCAATGTGTTTTGGGCCTTACTTTTTAAAAAACAGTCCAGATTTAAATGCTGCTTTAAAAATT